GCTCATGGCTTCACTGAGTTACGCAAGCCCCTTCGCCACGACAAGGCAGTGATCCATGAAGGGGTGGACCTCCTTACTTATGGTCTAAAAGCCAGGCATTCAAGTCCCTTATTTCTTTAGTCATCTAGTAAGGAGCTGATGTATTCCATCCATGATTCATTTGGCTCTTTGCCTCGGCAAGGAAAGATTAGTCAGAGGTCAGTGATTTGATAAACAAAAATTAATGGGCATCTCAGATTTTCTGTGTTTTCCAGCTGGAATGGGAGTTTTCTCAGACAAGGACTGTGCTGAAGGAACAGCTTGTGGTCTGTATCAACAAACAAACTTCTGTATGTGATATTAAGTTAATGTATACACTCCCTACTTCATATCCTTGATTTTCCTGTGTCTATCCTATGAAATGTTACAATTTTCCCACAAGCATTCTGGTTTCTGAAGATAAGACTTCAGGCTTTTGAGAGTCATAAGCAGATGTGAAGTTCTAGATGTGCATCATAAATGATGCAGCATAAGCATCTGTTAAAAATAAAACAAATGCTGCAAATTTACTATAAAGAATATTTTATAAGGGAAGAGGCAGGAGATTTTCCAGGGGCTTTCCTGATTATCTCCCTCCCTTCTCCTCTCCTTCAGTTATGGTTTGTCCACTTCAATGTTGAACTTTGCCTCCAGACTTTGACCGACTCTCTGGCAACACTGAAGAGAAGTCAGGAGGTAAGTTATGTGGTTGCTTTCTCCCTTCAAACAAGTGGACTCTAAGGTGCAGGAGGAAAAAAGCACACTTCAAATGCCTTTCTGCACAGTTGACTGAGTGTGAAAAACAGCTGGATGCCTTGTTGCAACAGATCAAAAGCCTACCATTCTCCTTCCTAGAATATTTATCTTGAAACTTCCAGGAAATGCAAAAAGTGAAAATGACATCTGAAGCCCTCTTCTCATGTTTCTGTCCCACTATGGCATTAAACAGCATGCTGCCTCTGATCCTGAAGTCTCTGTGTCAGCCCTTTGAGGTAGACCAGGTCCAGAAAGGGGAACCAGTTTGGTGTAGTGGTTAAAGGCACCAGGTTAGAAACCAGGAGACTGTGAGTTCTAGTCCTGCCTTAGGCATGAAGCCAGCTGAATGACTTTGGGCCAATCCATCTCAGTTCTAGGAAGAAGGCAAGGGCAACACACTTCTGACAAACTTGCCAAGAAAACTGCAAGGACTAGTCCAAGCAGTCACCAGGAGTCAACACTGACTCAAAGGCACACACCCACAGAGGAAAAAAAACAATCTAGAAAGAGATACACAAGAACTCTACTTTATTGTTACAGGGTATAATAACTGAATCTTGAAAGCCTGATAGGAGTTCCCTCTCTCCCCTCTTACACTGAAGAGAATCAAGTTGGGGTAATCTTGAGTTTTTCCCTCACCCTCTCCTGCCCATCCTGCATAAGTTGATGCTTTCATAAGTCACTGAATTCCTTCTTCAAGACCACCTCCATATTCCTCCACAATCTAGTGAAACTCAGTTCTCCAAATCCTGATCCTTAAAGGACATGTAGGCTCCAGGTCAAGGTATTGTCTGCTTAGCCCAATCTTTTCAATGTTGATGAGCAGCATCTTTTCATCATCTCATGGTGGCATGGGAGATACCTGAGATCTGGAAACTTCTGCATTGTTATGCATCTGCCTGCTCTGTATCGTCTACTAAAATAATTTTAAGGATCTCCCCTTCTGCCTTACATACCTAGATGAGGCTTGGTTAGCTTAGCGACCCCAGCATGCTGGCTAGCTCTTGGGGCAGGGGGCAGACATGCTGTGGAAGAGTCCTAGAAAAGGGCACTGCTGGTATGGCTGAAACCTCAGCAAGAGCAGACTACTAAAAACAGGCAGTCACTGATAGAGAGGCATTGACTCTGTACCCGTGTCACCACCTCACAAGTAGCTTTGTGGTAGCCCCTTCCCTCCCATTCATGAGCATGCCGAATCAGAAGATCCATTCTTTGACCCACTCCTTTGGGCTTGCTAACCACATGTTGCTTTCTTTGAGCCATTGCTCTCTTTCCCCTCTGGTTCCCAGTCCGCTCTGAAGCACAATCTGGATCACATCTGCATTGTAGTCGAGACCGCTGTCCTGCCAGGTTGTGAAAGCCAACCGAGAGACCCTTTGGAAGAATCCTCACTGTTGCCTGAGAGAAGGAAGGGCAGCAAGAATTTCTTGACGCGCCGAGAACTCGTCCATCTTGTCCCAGACAGAGCACCCGAGGTAAGGATTCCTATCCAAGAGGGCTTTTCTTCCCTACTCCTTTGCTTGGAATCCCAGCCAAGGGATTAGCCAAGAAAGAGCCTGCCAAAGTAGCTATGCCTCTGGAAGAAACACTTTCCTCCATTTCCATTATGCCAGAACCTGCAGCCTTCAAACTCTGCTTCACTGAGATTCATCAAGGAGGAGCTCCCAGGGAGTGCATGTGACCTGTCACCCAGAACTGGGTGTGAGGGATTATTTCTAAAGCCCTGTGCTGCAATGAATATCATTATGACTCAGCTGAATCCTCTTCTAAGACACCCTTGTACTGAAAATAGTATTTGTTTTATACTCCTTAAAACCCACCCTGATCCCACAGGAATCTGAGTGATGTGCAACACTGAACCAAAAGGAAAAAATACACATAATCATGATGATAACAGTAATAATAATAATAATAATAATAATAATAATAATAATAATAATAATAATAATACCTAAATCCAAATCAACATCAACAACAGAACTGCATAAGGGAGATAAAAAAAAAACTGGATAGGACTCCAGGCAGTTGGTTAACTGAGACCGAAAGCACATTGGAATAAAAAATGCTTTAACTGACTTATAGAACTGCAGTAAGGTCTGTGATGTATAAATGTGGGGGCCACACATGGAATGAACTGAATGTGCTGCTTCAAACGTTGATGTAGTTGCCCTTTCCTTTATGGAGCATTTCCATTTCATCTTGCTTTGTCTTGGGAGAACGCCAATCCCTTGTGAATGCTTGCAGCCTCCCTCTTGTGCTCCTGTCCTGGTAGGGAGGACCGTGAGTGGAAACTCCAGGATGGACGCCTAATCTACCTTCAGACGTTGTTCTGCCCACCTACAGAAGCTATCATGGGTCAGTTGGACCTTATTCTAGCCTTTGGGATGAGACAGGGTCATGCCTTGCAGTGTTGCCGCTTTGTCCTCGAATGCTCTACTGCTGGCCCACCTAAAGGATTGTCTGGTTGGGAAAAGGACCAATCCCATTTTGAGGATCTTTAGCTTAAATAAACGATTGTCGTTATTTTCTGAGGGCATGCTTTCAGTATTCCCAATAGGCTCTTGAGTACCCAAATTCGACCCACCCTCTCTGTCTAGTCATTGCACTGGCAGGGTCAAGTTGTTGAAGTAGGACCAGAAGTAGACCTTCAGTTGGAGGCCTTCAACCACGGAAGCTCTCTGGATGACTGTGAGCTGACCTTGTGGTAATAGTAGAAAAATTGGTGGAGGGTGTGCTACAGTATTTACCTTTTCTACAATTCCTGGATTATACATCTGATAAATGAATGGGATTAAACTCTTAACTTAGATCTGCAGTTATGTGCAAGAATAGGGATTTGATTCATTTGGGGGTGATGGATTGAACCTGAGACTTTTCTCATGCCAAACTCATGTTCAGCCCCCAAGGCTTTGCGCTGGGCCAGCACAGAATTCATCAACTAATATTGACTCCTTACCTTGTTTCAGATAATTGCCCAGCAGCTCTTGACGATCTTCAGCAGCTATTATGTCAGGCTCTTAGTTAGTGGCCAACTTCCAAAGGTCCCTGCAGGGCAGCACAAAACCCTTGGCGATGAACCTTGCCTCTGCCAGTTTGTTGAGTCTACACTGCTGGGGAAGGAACTCTCTGGATTCCAACAGAGGTGAACATTATGTAGCAACCAAAGATCTCAAAAATCACAGATTGAAGAACCAGAATCTGAACTCTGAGGGAACCAAGAATGATTTGTATTGTTCTCCATACCACAGAAGCGGCCCTAGAAATATTCTGGGAAATGTCTGTGCCTTGTTCTAAGGAGCAACTACATTGGACCAATGGTATATTTGGGTCAGGATCTGCCTATGACTTCTAAGAAGAGTTCTGTCACATTATATATTGTTTTGCTGGTCTCTTGATTGAATTTCAATGCATTGTTGGCTGCCCAGAATTGTGAGAATGAGATGCAGCCATATTGTGATGGAATGGAATTATGAAGGCCAGGCTCAGGGAGATAAGCATTTTCTTAGCTCGCCAGAACAGTGTGGGAGGAACAAGAGGACGAGACTGGCACCTCTCTGAGGAATTCACACTGTTATGGCTGGAGGACTTTGGGAAATGGGATTTTTTTCTGGGGAGATTCTTTCTAGAGGTTGTAGCTTATAAAAATAGGTGGACTGAATTTTCATGGTCTCTT